GAAAAAACCTTAAGAACGACACAAGTGCTATTTGATAGACTTTTTTTATATAAAGATAAGTTATTTTATACTTTTGATGATTGATAGAATAATTTTTATCTAACTATTTTATAGTAATAACTAAAAAATTACATTTTTTTAGTTGTATCAGTTGTGTTTTGAAATAAAGGAACAAAATCGTTAATATGTATTAGGTTCTCGAATTAAAATCACCTTCTATGATGAGATGTAGACTTGCATTGATTTAAAAATCGATCGTGTTACATTTTATTCGTTTATCCTATCACCTTCTCTGTATTACGATTTCCATATGATATACTTTTAAGCTTCTTAGCTTTGCCAAGTTCAGGAATAATTGCATTGCGATGTCGCGTGCCTCGTGATACTCATCTGAAAGATCGAATCGCGCGATAGATGAGGTAATTATTCGCCGGTATACTAGTTAATTACTGCAACTAGTATGTTAACTAGTAATGACGCGACGATGCACTTGAACGTGTACGGCGATGTTATCCACGCTTTAATTTCTTTTTTCGTGTACACGAGAGATATGCCAATAAAGAATCGTCCCGATGTTATAAAACAGGATCGACGATCATGAACAGTGTTCATAATATTATTGCAAAGCGTGCACCTGCGAAAGAAAAATGCTGCTCTTTAACATTTCTATAGCGTCGAAATTTAATGAAAATTATAGCGATTATATGAGGTGCGTGAAATAAATCTTGTAATGGCATCATTAAAATGAAAAAAATTATAATAATTATATCATGTCGTTATCGTATACGCCATAAATAGTAAGTCATCAAGTAATTAGATTATTATGTATCCTCTACTTGATTATTACACAAAGTAATTGAAAAAATATTATATTTTAATACTTTCATATATTTGTGTAAGTAAATGATAATATAATCAAGCATTAATAATAATAATAAATAGAAATTCTTTCTTTAATAGAAGTTATTAAAAAATCTTGACAATTAATTACCGATTATTACTATATATCAATGCTAATTAATGTGATAATTTATCACTGATAAATAAAACGTACGCTACTGAAACTTCAAAGAGCTGTCTTGAAGTTGACATCGCCATGTGACGGCAATCTACTTTGATCTAGATTGGCTTCTTCACTGTCCGATCTAGACGCGGATCCTGACCTCCGTTAACCGGGTATCGGTGACCTCGCCAGTCGGAACTGGAATTTACACGATCGTAATCCGATACAAGAACATAGACTACCCGCATTTCCAAATCCAACCGAATATTTCAATTCGCTTTAATTAATTAAATTAATAGACGAGCCGGCATGACGTTTCTCATAATACTGAAATTGGGAGAATTAAAAATTTACTGAAAAATTTATTTTCGTCACAAAAATAAATCTTTTCAATCTGATCGATACTCTCTGTTGATATTTTTACATATTTTGTTATCTTCGTGCATATTTGAAACTTAACAACTTTAATTATTCAAAGTCGCATCGGTTTTCTTTTATCCTATTATAAACAGAAATTGACAATCCGAGACTCTCCAAAGATCAGAAACGCGTTTTAAATGTGACATTGAAACAGGAAATATTTTGATGTTATTGCTCGTTAATTTGATTATTAATTGTATCTAACCGTTTCTGTTCTAACGATTAAGAACATCAAATTCCTAACATTTTCTAGAATTATCTGCCCGCTGATGTCATGCTCTCAGCAGTTTATTATCGTTTCTCCGTTCATTGTCTTTTATGAGGAAGACTCATTCCTAAAGTATTTCGAGCGATGAACAATAACTTTCAAAAGTTCTAATGAAAGGTAGATATTGTTTGATAAAGATTACAGAGAGAGAAAAAATAAATATAAGAGTTCAGTGAAAGCATTTATGACTTGTAAATTATGTGAAGCTAAAGAAAGTCTAAATATCTGTATATAAACATTGAGAAAAATGTTCTGACTCTAGTTCTAAACTAACAAAGAAACCTAGAATTTCTAAGCCTTTGTAATAATGGTCTCGTAAAAATGTTATTTTTGTAAGTCTTTGTTTCAATGAAGGAAAGTCTAAATATATGAGGAGCAGATTTTAAAAATGCGTTTTGTCTACAATTTCATTTTTTGAGTTTTAGAGGGCATAGTGTTTAGTGTTGAAAGATTCATATTATAAGCTATTCTGAGATATTCAGAAAGCATTTTTTTCACCGTTAATTTATGTGCTGAAACAACATAGACATTTCAAAGTGCATTATGTCTTTTAACTAAAAAAAAGCAAAATTTTTTTAACATTTGTTTAATATTTTTAGCAATTGTTTAACAATTTTGTTTAACATTTCACATCCTACTGATTGATATATTATTATTTTCTTACTTTTCTTATGTGTGCTTTTTTTCTCGTTTTCTGAAAATTCTAAATTTTGGGCCAAACGCATTTTGAAAGTCTGCTCCTCATATTATATATCAGATAATATCTCTAAAACTTATCGAAACTTTTATTCAAATATGTTCTTTTCTGAAATGAACAGATCGTTGCTAAGAGTCGTTACTTGAAAGTCATCGTTATTTATGATATCTAATTACAATGCTTAGCCATTTCGAATAAATTCTTCTTGCTTGTTAAGCAATCTTTGACATCTCTTTACAATCCTGTTAAAGTGCGTTCCGAATTTTATTACATGACGTATTCGACGTGAATAAAGATATAAAAGCCAATAATTGACCGTTCTCGCGTTCAATGACGAATAACGAGTATGGTAAATGGAATAATTTTCGTTGCACAATAATGTGTGTAAAGTAGTTTTATGAAACTGTGACTTGACAAATGGCCGACAATATTAGTGACGATTAAATCAATATCTATGCAATACGTTACGTTAGAATTAAAAAGATATTAACATAAAGAATTGGAAGAATCGCAATTTATTAAATGTACTAAGTTTAATCGAAATAAAATATGATTTTCAAATAAGATGTAATCTTGGCCATCAGTGTAAATTGTAAAACTTCAACTTATTATATTTTCTTAGAAAAGGCGATAACGGGAGCCAAAGGAACTAGCAAGATATTAAAATTGTTATAAAAATAAATATCATTTTTTAATAAAAACTTTTCTTAATTTAAATATTTTTTCTTCCAATATAAAAAGTCTACGTCAATTTGTAAAAGTACTTTATAATAATAAAATACTTATTACGTAATAATAATTATACTTATGTATACCCAGACTGTATATTAAAAAACATCAAACATATTATAAATTATACGATACTCTCCGCGAAACCCAAATAGTTTTTGTTCACCTAGACTACCGAGAAGCAAGTGAAGTTATTTTCGCAATTAAATCCGCGCTTCATATCGGAATCGTACGCGAGAAACTAATTGAGAACCGCGAAGTGTGCTCTGTTAACGAGCATAATTGTTCTTGGATACAAGGGGATTTAATTACACGGCACTTCGTCCACGCACCGCGCCATGCACCTGCGTAACGTACCTCGTATTAATGACCGACAATCGCAAAGGTAAGTAATTACGCAAAGAGCGGTCGACGTATCAACAATCGCGTTTTTAGCCTGATTCCACATCATTTGTTTACAAGCAAATAAACCGAGGCAGCCCGCAATACGCCGCGGGTTAATTAATCGGTCGTATATGATCAGTCTGTGTAACATTGTCCAGAGATCGACGCTCGAATATCGATCTGTCGCGATATTCTATTAGGCGTAGAAAATTCGAATACGAGAGAACCAAAAAAAAAAAACTTTCTAACAAAAATCCGAAGGCATCGACACGAAATACAGCACGATTTCGCGATGATGGTGAAATTTAAAATTTAAATGAGGATACGTGTGATAAAGTTTGCGACAAACTTTGAATGAATGAGATTACTAAAAGTGTTACGAATATTGTAAAATTATTCTACATAAATTGTAAGATTAATATTGATGAGAGTAATATTGAATAGGATTTTTCAAGAACTTCGACATCCTGAAAAGTTTTGAAATGTGTAAATTATTATTTTGCATTTTTATCATACACTAGAGAGAAGTTATCTTTAATTTCCATTTGGTAATGGATACTAACTATTGGTCCAATAGTTAGTAAATATTATTGAATATAAAAAAAGAGTAATCAACTATTCAATACACAGAGAGGACAGTTTTGAATCTAAAAATTTAGCTATTATTAGATACAGATTTAAAAATAATTTTGTTTGGCCCATTGAAATAATTATGTAGAACGCTTAAACTGGTTGCTGAAATGTTAAAGTTTTTGCAATATTGTCATCAATGTTTGTGGATGTATTAGAAGTATCCAATTTTCTCATTTTTTATTTATTTCTCATTTTTTAATTCTTTTTTAAAAGAGTGTCATGTCTCCTTTCCATTAAAATATTATAATTTTCTGCCCAGATTTTAAATCGTCGCTAAACTTTTTGTATTATTTTCAAATACAATGCACAGAAAAATCTTTTTGTTTTTTCATTCTATCAAAAAATACATCTTTAAGTATTTAAAAAAATCATTTTAATGATCCAACAAAACATTTAAAAAAATCTGTTTATTTAACTATAAATTTTTAACACTTCAGCAAAAAGTCTTCTTTCCGTCTAATAATTAGAAGAATAAGATATAGCATTGTAGAAAAGTAAATTTAGTAACTATTAAAAGTTTGATAACTGTCCCCTAGGCTTGATTATTATTACCAGGTCTTTTTTTTTTTTTTTTTTTTTCGTAGTAGCGCAGAATTTCGGAATGTACAGGACAACTCTGAATCCAATCTATGTGTGGAAATATATATATTTTTTTCTCGTTATATTCGCGATCGTCCCGGGGAAAACCCAAACCACCGGCTACCTCAATTTACAGTCCCTGCGTAAGATACGTGACGTTCGCGATATCCGCGGGGACCAATCGCCGAGGACGATCGATTTCCGTCCGAGCGCCGGCGGCGTGTTTCCGCCGCGTGTTTACATCTGTATATACATATATGTACACGTAAACGAAACAACGCACTTACCACGCTTGCGGATTCGCCCGGGGAAGCGCAGATCCGTTGTCTCCCCTCTCTCCGGTTCTCGCTGATATCCGATAAAGCAATATCAATTTATCGCGTCTCCTCGCGTGCGTTCGTGTGCTCTTCCTCCTTTTTCTCCACCTCCTCCTCCTCCTCCTCTCGCTCGTCGCGTCGCAAAATTTCTCTCTTCTCTGATCCCGGAGTAATCCGCGTGCTCTTTCCCTCGCGGTGAAACGTCAGGCCTGCACTTTCTCACGGAATAGCCGAGGGAAAAGGAAAAAAAGGAAAAAAAGAAAAAACCCGACGAAGCGAAGGATGCAACCGAATGTGTCACACTCGCGCACAACGCTTCCGTTACTGAGATCGCACCGATCTCCTCTTCCTTCAGCCGGCGAACTTTTGTCCGTGTCACGTGGAGAGAGACCTGTTTCGGGCCCACTCGTCGTCTGCTTTCTCTCTTCCTCTCGGTCACTCTTAGTATGATCGTAGTAACGTCACTTTCTCTCTGTCCCTCCTACATCCGTCTTTCTCTCTCTCTCTCTCTCTCTCTCTCTCTCTCTCTCTCTATCGTGCCGTTAAATGTCACAGCTTTATCTCTTTTCCGCTGTATCTCTTTCAATAATAAACTATCGCGCCTACGTCGTTCCATCCGATTCTTCCGACACTTGTTTACCAAAATGTTTACTTCAATGTATTTCCAAGTATTTCCCTCCACCTCCTCTTGACTTTATTTCGCATTAACGTCCTCGATCGATTTTCTCGAGAACAACCAAGTCCATGCTCGCTCGATCGCTTTATCCGCCCCCTCCGAATGCCTTTTCTTCTTTCTCCCCACCCCCCCCCTCCCCGCCCC